AAAAAAATCCAACCCTAACTAGATTAAAAACCCCAACAGTCTAAAATATCCAACCCTCTAAAATCGAAAAAAAAAAAAAAAAACAACCCAACAACCAAGAGTCCAAGTCCCTCTAACCCCACGCTAAGCACCCAGCCCCCCCCCCCCCCCCCCCCCGTTCCAGTAGTACCAGCCGCCATGTTTGTTCAGCAGCCTTCAACAACAAAGAGTGGACTTGGCTATGGCGCTAACTCGCCCCGACGGTTGGGTCTGGATGGTACTCACGTCTGCACGACGGCTGCATACTAAGCACCGGTGGCCGGGTCTACGTGGCCTCGGCTTGGGTGGATGGCCAAGATAGAAATAGCCACCATGTACGCTTTCACAGATGGCCATTTTAGAATCATTAGCTGCCCACCGTATATATAGATGGTCATTTTAGAGCAATTAGCTGCCCACCATATGCATAGATGGTCAATACGTAAACTTGCATGCATGGCCATTGTGTGCCCGAGAGTTGGCCTCCATATTTGTAGAGGGCCATTGCGTAACGAAAAGTTGGCCACTATATAAAAAAACCTGGCCACCATATAAGCTTGAATGCATGGCCAATACATCAACTTCAATAGTTCACCAACATAAATAGCTGGCCACTGCTTGCATATAAGTCATTGTGTGGCCAATAGTTGACCAACATAAAGAGCTGGCCATTATCTAAGTAAGCTGGATGGGGCTGCACAGTCAGTAGGTAGAACGCACGACTGCTTACCTAAAAGTCCTGTGCTGAGTCCGTAGGAACTTGAGAGATTCTGATGAAAAAGGCAATTGACTATAATATCCCTTTACAGGCCAAAGTCTTAGAAAAAAAATGAGCTCTACTTCACCTGCCCCGTGGATCACAAGAGTAGCATTGAATTTACTATTTTATGAAAGCTTGATCAAAGATTGCCACCATATAAATAGCTGGCCTCTGCTGTAAGTTGGCACGCGGGGACATAAAGTTGGCCATCCTGTGTGGAACCTTCAACAGTTGGCCATCCTGTGTGGACATTAACCTTCAACAGTTGGCCATCCTGTGTGGACTTCAACCTTCAACAGTTGGCCATCATGTGGACATTAACCTTCAACAGTCGGCCATCCTGTGTGGACATAAGCTTCAACAGTTGGCCATCCTGTGGACATTAACCTTCAACAGTTGGCCATCTTGTGGACATTAACCTTCAACAGTTGGCCATCCTGTGTGGAACCTTAAACAGTTGGCCATCCTGTGGACATTAACCTTCAACAGTTGGCCATCCTGTGGACATTAACCTTCAACAGTTGGCCATCCTGTGTGGAACCTTAAACAGTTGGCCATCCTGTGGACATTAACCTTCAACAGTTGGCCATCCTGTGGACATTAACCTTCAACAGTTGGCCATCTTGTGGACATTAACCTTCAACAGTTGGCCATCCTGTGTGGAACCTTCAACAGTTGGCCATCCTTTGTGGAACCTTCAACAGTTGGCCATCCTGTGTGGAACCTTCAACAGTTGGCCATCCTGTGGACATTAACCTTCAACAGTTGGCCATCCTATGGACATTAACCTTCAACAGTTGGCCATCTTGTGGACATTAACCTTCAACAGTTGGCCATCCTGTGTGGAACCTTCAACAGTTGGCCATCCTGTGGACATTAACCTTCAACAGTTGGCCATCCTGTGGGCATTAACCTTCAACAGTTGGCCATCTTGTGGACATTAACCTTCAACAGTTGGCCATCCTGTGTGGAACCTTCAACAGTTGGCCATCCTGTGGACATTAACCTTCAACAGTTGGCCATCTTGTGGACATTAACCTTCAACAGTTGGCCATCCTGTGGACATTAACCTTCAACAGTTGGCCATCCTGTGGACATTAACCTTCAACAGTTGGCCATCTTGTGGACAGTAACCTTCAACAGTTGGCCATCCTGTGTGGAACCTTCAACAGTTGGCCATCCTGTGTGTAACCTTCAACATTTGGCCATCTTGTGTGGACATTAACCTTCAACAGTTGGCCATCCTGTGGACATTAAGCTTCAACAGTTGGCCATCTTGCAAGTGTAGTATCTAGACCTCAGCTGAATGGGATTTTATTAAGTCCAGATGAAAAACGTTTGTAGCTGTAAGCTATAATTTGCCTTTTCAAAGTCTCATGTTCTCTTTAATAAAATTTTAAGATACAAAAAAACTCGAAAAAAATAAAGACAACAATGTAAGTTTTATTTTAGCTTGGTGCCTAGTTTATTATTTATTTTAGTTTAAGTTGAGATGTCGTACAGACAGACGAACAAACAGACAGACATATTTCTAATAGTTGCATATCTGTGAGGGCCCCAACGACTGGATAGTCCTGATGACAACAAAGACGGTTTATTAAAAAAAAAAATTAAGACTATTTAACTACAACATTGAAACATGGCAAGCTGGCATTCAAACAAGAGTGCATGCCAGATTTTTTTTTTTTGAAAAAGGCTTGAGTTTAAACTAGATATTAAATTCATAAAAGTAACACCCAATGTAAAACTAAGATTGTTAATAATATGACAATAAAATTACATTAATTTTTGTAAATTAATAAAATTATGCAGCATTATTATGCAAAATAAAAATTTTAACAATGTTTTTTTTTTCAAAATTTAAAACCAGCATGCTCTGTAGTAATGTAATGCCAGCAAGATTCAAATAAAAAGCGTAACAAGTTTATTCAATTAAAAAAAATGAAACAAAACCCATATCTTTTCCCATTGAATTCCAATTAATCTTTTAACAGCTTTTTTTTTTTTTAAAACCTTATGGTAAAATTACTGAGGTAAAAAAAAATTTAAACCTGTAAGAAAATTGGAAGTTTTAAATTTAATCTGAACTTGGAAATTGTGTCGGTACACACACAACGCCATACCTTAAGAGATACAACAAAGTAGAAAAAGACTGGATGAAACAGGAAATAGAAAACATAAAACGATCTTTCTAAGCTGAGACAAGTTCCTGACAACAGTGCTAAAATCATGTATCAAATAGATGCAAGTCTGCTGTGACAGTGGCACACTGGCAGCAAACTCACACAGTTTTAACTTATATTGCACTTGACCCATATTTGTGATGGTAATTTTAAAACAAGGAGAAAATATATATGAAACAAATTATAAAATGAAAGGGTTATATCCTTCAATGAAGTGTGAATGACTAGTGAAAAATACAAATTAGTCACCACACGACACTTCAAAATCTGTACATGTCAATTTACTACAAATTTTAACTTGCATTTAAACTATGCGTGGCACAATTATGTACAAGTAAATCACTAGATCTATCACTAACATATCAAAAAGTGAATTTTCAGAATTTTTAACTAATCACTGAAGTGAATAAATTATTGCTGGTGTTAAGTTTAACATCTATTCTATTACTTTCCTTATATAAAGTATTCGGGTATTTAAAGATGTCTATCAATTTCTAATTTGTCAAACACTGACAGAGAAATAAAATGCAAAATTTCATAATATAACTATTGAAAAAGCTCACTTGTATTTTTAAAGGAACAAAAGCAATTCAAATTATAAAAATATACGGTTGTAAAAAAAATCATTTATAGCCCTAACTAATAAAAAATATTCACATGAAGATACTTATACAAATAAAACCAAGCAAACCACAAGTTTTTAAAAATATACACATATTTTAAACCAGTGAAGGGTAAAAATCTGCACGGCACGCCCTTATTGTACATGATGAAGTGAATTGGCAGAAAGCAAGATATCATGAGAGTGAGAAGATGAACTCTAAGTGAGCATAAAAAAATGTATGAACCTCTAGATGAGTATATTATACAATGTAAACGATACACATATGCTAACTAGACATAGATCTACAGAACATATTGTCTGAACAAATACAGGAGGCAATAGTAGATTTTTATCTATATACATGTAAATCATTCAAAAATTTATGGATCATAATTGACATCAATGAAACAATTACATTTCACTAAAATAAATATGTGGTTTATATTATGGACACACCCTCACAGTCAGTAACAGTCAAAAATGACAAGTAAAATGGATTGATAATTAAAAAAAAAAAAAGAAACAATCCATAGTAATGTGGAACGGAAAAATAATTATGCCATGCAAGCCTGGTCGCAAATACTTAATTTTACCGAAACATTTTTCTTAAAACAACAGTTTTCAACTGGATAGCTATTTTTGCCAGATAAGTAAACTAGGCTTCAATCACAAAATCCTAACAGTCTAAGAAAACAAATATAAATTTTTATGTATAAAATTATGGGTAAAAAATATTGAATAAAAAAAAATAACAGGCAGTAAAAGGAGTAAGCAAATCATTTTCTTTGTAACAAAATTTAATGAGATGGGAAAATAACTAAAAGTTAGTCAATAGAAAGATGTTAAACGGAATGTCACTAATAAAAATTACGAAGATTATGGTTCTTAAAGATAAAACAACCTGAAATTTCTATAAATTTACATTATTTAAAAACATTGCCTTTTGCTCTTCTTAAGCAAGGATCTAGTTTTTTTCCCCAGCATTGTTACATTGTATGAGAGCACCAAAAACAATCTAATATTTATATCTGAGTGTTGTCTCTAACACAGTATTTACACTACTGAAGCAACCTGGCCCTGAAGTATAACTACATGTTATTGATGAGTTAAGATTAGGTCAAGCTAAACGTTAGGTCTGTATTTTGTTAGTTTAAAGATGTATGGGCTAATTGTTTAACAGTGTTGTCTCAAAAAAAAAAGATTATGCTTAAAATTTATGCAAGGAATTATGCTAATGGTATCATTGCACTGGTACATATTTTGTTATAAAACAATGTAAACAAATGTCATACAAACTACATAATCGACTTTTAGAGTGTTGGAATTAAGTTAGCCTGGAACATAATAAATTATAACCTGTATGAAGATGTTTATTTTATTTTGATGTACTTTCGTTGTTATGTTATGGATAAAGTTTAGCTAAGGTTTCTTTTAAAAAAAAAAAAGATGTATAAACAAAAACCCTAGTACTAATGGATATTTGTAGAGAATGAGTTAAATACACACCCTAAGACACTGAAAATTGTCAGAATAGTACACTTAATTAGAGTACCAAGTCAGTATGGGAGCCTAGGACATTAAAACCCTGTTGAATTTGACAGATATACATACAGTGAAATGACATCTTTAAGGGCAGTAAGCTGCACTTAATGCAAGTAACATCCATTCAGGCCATTGCCTGAACAATAACAGAAAGCAAAAATCATCAAAGTAAATCGTGAGCAACAATTGCAGCTATAACAAATATAGATAGATTTCAGATCAGATACAAGGGTTAGGGGACCAGTGAGATATGTACAATAAGTTTAAGACAACTCTCACTCACATTCTACGTATATTCAAACAAATGATTACATCAGCCTACCAGTTACATTTAAAAAGTCGGAATGCTATCAGAAAAATAAAAGGAACAAAACATAAAAAAAAAGAGCTGATGAATAATAACTTCTTTGAAGTCTGAACATTTTAAATTAGCTGATACAAAATTAAATCAATTTCCCACAAATTGAAAGAAATTGAAAATACTCAAGAAAATTCAAAACAACTCCTTTTTTTAAATTACTGATTCAGTTTTGAAATAATAAATACAAAAGTGAAATAAAAATTAAATAAAAATACAGTAAAAAGATCACAATGGCTCTAGGTAAATTGAGTGAAGTTTCTGGATGGACTGGTCATTAGACTAGACTGTGATGTATGGACAGATGGTGCAACATTAAGCATTGAGCATGTTACTCTACAATCATTTTATATTGCATACATTCAACAATAAAAAACTTCTAACTGTTCTTATTTTATTAAATTGATTGCTTCAGTTGGCTTAAATTATAAATCAATTTACTTTCTAGTTTTTTTTTCTATTTTGTAATGACTGCTTGAATTTTAAAACTCTATGCAGACTACCAGAGTTTAGGATGCAATTTTATTTGAGCAGTTCTTGAAGCTTAACATTGGGAACATAAAATTTCACTTAAGTATAAAAATGTAAGCCAAATTTTTTTTTCAAAACTGCCAAAAATAAGTAAATAAGTCCATGGGAACTATTATTGATAGATCTGCTTAGTAACTACACCAAGAATAATTCTAAAAGAAAACCAGTATATTTCTAAAAATTTTCTCATAAGAGTTCTTTTTTGAGAAAGTATTAGAGTGAACTACATGTAATAGCCCACTCTCTAAAAAAAAATTGACACTTTAAATTGCATTTTTATTTTCACTCACATCTAGATTTAAAAAGAAGTTATGAAATTTAAATTTTCAGATAATTAAAAAAAAGCACAAAATATACACAACCAGATAGTAAACAAAAGGAAACCAAAAAAAAAAAATTAAAAAAAAAACTAGACATGGAACATGAACCAAGTAGTGTAGAAAATATATTGCACATTAAATTTTTGAGCTAGATCAGCTGCCGCTGAGCTTTGAGGTTTGAAAGCACTTGTGTCCTAAATTTTACTTGATCTTCAACCCAGTGATTTCACTGGTAGTCAAGGAGTATTGGAAAAAAATTTGTTATAAAATTCCAAGTCATCAAAGTGCGATTAGAACTAATTTGACCAAGTTAAATTTACTTCACAAGGCTTTTTAGCTGGATGGAAATGGTGGAAATAAATAAAAAAATTAAATAATAAATACTAAAACACAGAATACTTGATATGTCACAAAGAAAGTTTGACACAAATGTAATGGATGGCACCAAAATCAGATCCCTGTTAAATAGTTAAATACCAAAAAATACTGCCGCAAATAAAAATTTGCAAAATACAATATGTATAATTGATAAAGTTGGATTTCACAACATTGGATTTTCCCCCCTCTCAATTCTTCATTCAAGCTGCAGTTTAATATTTGGAATGATAAGGTTCGGAATAATTTAAGCTGATAAATAATAAGACTAACAAAAATATATTGCAGATCTACAATGTAAAACTGTGAATATCACACAAAATGTGGTTAGAAGCTGAATGGAAATTATAGTTTGTTTGTTCAGAATACCATGGAATGTGAACTGATGAGAGCAATACTACAACTCTTCAATAAAATAAAACCAAAAATGTTAAACAAAATTTTGTTCTCAACATACCTGATGTTGAAATGTTAAAATTTCAGATCCATTGTGCAAACAATACTGTACCAACCAAAATAAATAAATACTTGTATAAATGGGCAGATCTATCACTGAATAAATTACGTGTGGTGAGCAAAAAATAAATGGAGACAAAGCTTACCAAGGATTTGTGTTATTTTATTTAAATTAATGACTTGAGAGCTAATTTACAAGCAACTTACTGAAGGGAGCTGTTCATTCCAAGTGACCAAAAAGAAGCGACTACGCTGTTTCATTACTGCTTGTATGAATTTTTTGTATTCATGTAATTAACTTTTTATCTGAAGAATGGGTGTTGATTTAACTAATTTAAAAATGTAGTATAAATAGAAAACACAAACACACCCCACGTACACACAAACACACCAAAATATCAACAGCAAAATGTTCTCACTTACATGTTACATGTTGGACTAAGGCATATCTGTTTCAATGATCCTTTGTTGAATGAGCCTCTTTAGTAGATCGAGGCTCACTGTGAAAAACCTTGCTTGGCTTTCATACCCGTCCCAGTCAGGATTACAATAAAATTAAATACAAAACCCTAGTAGAAAACCCTCATAGAATTAACAGGAACAGGCATTAGGATATGTTGGCATTCAACAAATTTGCGTCTGATATGAAATGGTCATAAAAACCCCCCAAAAAAGAAAATGTTGGATAGAAATATTGCAAAGAGAAGACATGAAGACAACACAGATTAATTAGCTTTACAGTGATGATGAAGAGGATGAAATAAGTCACATATATTATGCAGACTAAGGTACAAAGTCTACACTATAGTCCTTCCTTGAGATGTCAGAAATTGAATTATCCTTGGAAAGTCTTTGCAACTTGCTCCTTATCAAGGACAGAAATGCAAAAGTATTTTTAGACTCCATTAGGTATAGCATGTGTTTTTATGCATAACATTTCCTTTAAGATGAGTGCAAGTTACACAAATGTTTGTCAATCTGTTTCAGACTTTTTTATCCTTCTCTGAAGGGTCTATAATTTAAGTTCATTTTCTTCATAGTGTTGTAACGCATCAAGCCTCACGAGCTAAAAATAAACGAGTCAGAAGTTAAAACACATTGAGATTTAGGTGGTGGTGGTAATTTACAGTGACACAAACAATAAGAAGAGAACATATGAATTCGATCAGTTGATTAACAGCAACACTTGGATACAAGATCATCAATGTTATTGTTATCAACAATAGTGGACGTGCATCGCTTCAGTTTTGGACTGAATAAACTACAAAGTTAAGACATGACGTCAGGTCAGCCCAGGTCACATGATGTCGACATGATTCTCATGACATAAATGAATCAGTGAAAAGACCTCACCATATTAGTGAAAGGCCTGGTTGTGTTAGCTTTTATTACACCCCGCCACGCTCTCACGATTGTTGTTACCGTTGTCATCCTGCCATTTATCCAAAGATCGCCTGCGTGCATTCATGAAGAAATTAGCTACTGTTGTGACCTCCAGCCCGAGCTGCTGGGCTATAGTCTGTTGCATTTCTTTGCTGGGGCGTTTCGTCTCCTTAAAGATGGCATGGAGCGTACGCCTCTGAATATCTGTGAATACCAGCCTTGGTTTCTTCGGCGGCCTATTTTCTTCAGGTGATTTATCCACATCTAATTCCTTTCGCTTGCAAGCTGAAAAAAAAGAAAACATTTTCATCAGATAGGACAAAAATTTAATGGGTTTTTAAAAATAATTTGAAGGCTTTAATGTTAACAGTTTTTATTTAGTAAAATATTTTTTTAAATATTGGGCGGCTGAAAAAAACACTAAGTATTCATTTAAAAATATTCTTGCACAAGTGAAGATTCACACATGTAAATTAGAACCAGATCACATAGAATAACATTTTTTAAGTGAAGTTTTCAGTTCAGCACAGTGAAAAAATGTATACTGTTACGATCACAACTGTATAAAATAGAAAGCCTATGAAAGACAGGAAACACGGCCAGTGCTCACGAGTTTTCCTTTGTGATGACAATATTAACAGTTTTTTTTAGCAGTGTAAAGACTGGTGTAGGAACATACAATATAATATTAAACAAAGTTGTGACGACTATGACAAACAAGAGACTTAAAAAAAAATGTTTTCTAAAGAACGGGTTAAAGAAAATATCTATTCCAATATGAACCAAATTAAAAAGGATTTGCGTTTTATTGTAACAGACAATTCAGTTCTACTAAACCCAAGCTCTTAAAGATTTTCTAATACAAAAAAAATTTGTGAAAATGGTACCTAAGCTACTTCAGTAATAGATTATCTAGTAGTGAAACACAAATTATGAGGTCTGAAAGAATATTTACATTAATACTTTTTTAAATTCCTGATTTAATAGCTAAATACAAAATCATTCAATTATTTGTATCTTTCAAAACCAACTGATTTTTTAAACTTTTAGATCAACTAAATTTTAATAAGCTTGATGCTTTAAATTACTCTAAAATTTGGTACTGAAAAAAGGTTGAAATGAAAAGTTGAAGTGGATTTAAAATGTGTATCTGAGGTAGATCTGGGAACTTACCTTCTGGTATATAGCTCTGTTGGCCACCAAATCCAGGTTTTGTGGGTGACTGGGAGGGTTTGAAAGCTGAACCTGTGGGGGTGAGAAGAACCAAGCCTTAGACTACAGGAGACAAATTCACCCAGGTTTTTAAGGATGAAGGCAAATTTAAAAAAAAAAAAAAAATTGATCTAATAAAAACCAATTTCAAAATTTTAAATAAATGTAAAACAGAAAAATGTGTAAATAATTTTTTAAGATTCGCTTTTCAAAAACCTAAGCTGCAGTGTTTTTTAATTAAAAGTTCACATTTTTTTTAAAAATTTAGACTTTGTGTTGGTATAGTATAATTAAACAAACTGAAGAAATAAATTATAAGTTTAAAAAAAAGGGATACGGTTCTAGCAATACTACAACTAAAGAAAGAACTAATACTAGCACAAAGGCATGAAAGAGACAAACATTTGATAAAGAACTGCTTATACTTTTGACAAGATTTCCTTGACTTTATTCTCAAAAGCAGGAATAAAATCCTCCAACAAATTATTAGCCCCCCTCATATCAGTCTAAAATTAGTTAACTATTTTTGGGCTAAGGTAAATTGCTATTTAACATCATATTTAAAAAAAAATATACAATAGTTATAAAATATAGAGCCACTTATGTTGATGTTTAGAGTGCCTCATTAGTTTTATTTTTAAATTTCAATTACACTAATTATAGAGTTCTAGATCTAGTTATTTGAATAGGCCCTACTTGTTTACAGTTGACACAATCATGAAAGAGATATCAGTATTTATTTCTATTATCAGCAATCCTAAAAATCAATTCTATGTTTACATATGTCATAAATCTGAAGTTGGTTCAATAGTTAAGAATGTATAACTGTAAGCTCTTGTTATTTTTAAAATAAAATAAAAATGTTATGAAGAAAGGTTTAACACTAAAGCAGAATCTATCAGGGCTTAAAGAGGATAGGGGTGCCTTAGAAGGGCTTTCAGAAAGGCAAGTCGCCAAAAGCAATCAATAACTGATTTCATGAATGAACGCAGAAACAAGTCGGAAATAAGAAGAGGAACAACCCAGTCGCGTTTGTGTGTATGGAGAAAAACAGGGGGCAGGGTGTGTGTGTGGGCTGTGTGGAAATGCGAGGTGGGGGGGGGGGGGGTTCTGATAGCCGAATGGCATGCGACTGGAGAACGTTAGTTTTATTGATGGGGATTGTGGTCGATTGTCATTTGATACCGCCACAAAGCTGTGATGATGCAATATTGCTGCTTGTAAACACGGGGGTGGGGGTATTTAGCCTCCCGACAAGATCGTTGCGAAGGAGGGAGGGATGGACGGACGGGGAGAAGGTAGAAAAAAACGCAACAATTTATCAGCGTTTTCGCCAATGTGAAAGGAACTGTGGACTATATAAATCGGATCTAGCGGACCAAGTTTCGTGCGCCAGCTATGAACTAGCTATGAACCCGTTTGTTGAGACAACACAACTAAACTGCTAGAAAGAAAACAAAATTAAAAAAAAACGATGAAAAATCTAGGGACGTCTGTTACAACATGTACGTCTATTTAAACAGACAGGCGGGTGGGCTCTCACATAAAAACACTCACTCACCCAGTCACAGATCTGCTCATTCGCACGAATATAATCACTCGACGGTAGGCTCGATGTACGGGCTTTATGGGTGCGATTGCGGGCTCTGTGGCAACTCGTAGACACATGGCACGGTTTCATGGGAGCTTGGAGATGAGAGAAAGAGAGAGCGAGTGAGGATAGACTAGGCTGTCAATTGGCCGGAACTTTCAAATGAAATATAAAAAAAAAGCAGGTAGTTGCCGGGAGAAAGAGAAACCGGAAATAATGGAGAAAAGAATAAAGAACGTAACTCTATGAATGATGGAGACTCACTGCTTTCATGTTCACACTCGTGCATGGATGAGTAGTGCATATAAATATATCAATCTAAGACATTTATATTTTTTAAAGAGCGAACACAAAAAAGTTTATTTGACCGAGCGTACTCCCGAGGTTTGAAACGTAGCGTCGTGTACGAGATAACATTTTCCCATTACCAACAGGGTTGTAAACATTCAAAACTTGAAACTGAACCAAGAACGAGGCGCTTGAAATCTATCCACAAATACGAACATTACTTATCAAGCCAATCAATAAAAACCTTGGCATATTTTTACGTGTCTCGTGTTACCGGGTTTAACTAGCAAATCTTCCATCGAAAATCTTTCATCAAAAATGTTGCATGCCTTCTTGACACAGGGGGCCGACAGGTCAGATCCATAACAAGAGCGGTGATCGCAAACATCGATACTTTAAATAACCACCAGCGCTTTAATGCCGCCATAATAGAATGACCAAATCCTACATAATGGATTCTGATCGTATCGCGCGCAACAAATCCAACGGTGGTAATAGATTTCTTGCGAATATCTTGACTGAATCGGCATCGTCCGACGTTGTTCACGACCGATGGCTCGGTCTTTGATTACACGCGAGTACACTGTCAAAAAACTGAGGACTGGTTTGTGTTTGGGTGTCTTCACACGGCCGATGTCTTTACTTCTCCATTCACAAAGTTGGCGTTTATTAGCAACGTCTTCAAGTCAATACCCGCTTGACCATCATGTAGTGTCAGCACCCATCTGACCAATTGCTTGTGGCTTTAAAACAATTTACAGAACTATTAGAATCTTTCTTGTGGGTGGGTATCTCGACTATTTATTATCAGTATCCCTTTGACTATTAGGCTATTAATTCACTACATAAAAAAAAAAAAAAAAACTTTTTCAATGCTACTTGGCGTATGTAGGTCATTTATCTTTAACTCAAGTCTTCTTCTTCGCTCTTAATTGTAATGTTGAACGGGATTTCCTCCAACAAAGATTAGTATTACGTGTCAGCAGGTTATGCACAATTAAGGCCTTTGACCACGATTTCAATCTGCGTTTCTTTTTGGATTTTCCTCCATATCCTTTGTCCATCCGAACAAACATAAGGCTGCAGTTATTTCATTTTGAAGGTTTCTCTACTGTTTTTTCCTTGATAACGAGCCTCATCTGCACATGAGTTCAAACTTGGGACGTTTTAACTGACCAAAACCAACGTACGCTATCTTTGTACGTAAAGCATTTTTTTCCTCAAAGAACAAAGAACTCTTGGTTCTAAATAAAAGGGAAATAACCACCTATCTAGCGGCCATAAATCAATTTAGCGACCCCCGCGTCGAATCAGTACAAATTCACGCTCACACATTCCGCGCGTGGACAATTCAAACTTAATGAAGTGAGCTGAACCAACGGTCATTGTCGTCTGGTCACCGTCTAGCGTGCTGTACTCAGATGTAGTGGCCAGGACATAAAGAAACGGCCACATGGCCACAGGTTATGCCTGTGTTGCCCAAGTGCCAATCTTTCATCTGTTTGAAGACAGGTACTTAAATAACAATGGATAGCCGGTAACAATCACACGCAAGGATAAATAACGTTGCCATTATATTATTGGAATAAAGGAATTAATACAACAGGAGAGTACTTTATTGAGCACAAAACTTATTAATTTTAGGGACTAACGTCAGCTAAAAAAACATAAAACGGTAGTGATCTCCCCTAAACTTTCTCGAATATTCTTATATAAAACAACAGGGGATGGTAACTGGGGATATAGTTATGATTTTTAATCCATTTTAAATACTTAAACTTTTTAAAATAGAATAGAATCTCATAGAAAAAAGTATTGCGCACCAACCGAACGCCGAATAAAGATGTTCATAATGGTGCGCAATATTATTAGTACTTTTAAAATTTACATTAGTTTTTTGAGAAATCGGAAGTAGCGTAAATTACTACTTCCAGTCAACGGAAATTACTCAAAATTTAACAGAAGGTAGAGAATTAGATCTTTTACTTACATGTGAAATTTCATTTATCTATCTGAAATAGTACTCAAGTTATAGGCTTTTAAAAAATTCAAAGTAGGAAAAGTACCACTTCCGGTTATCGGAAATCGCTCAAAAGTTGATACGGATCTACGATTTTGATAAAATACTTATATATGAAATTTCATCAACCTAGCTGTAACGGTACTCAAGTTATCGTGTTTACACACGGACAGACACACACACAGACACACACACAGACATACGGACAAGATTGCAAAATTATGTTTTTCCGTATCAGTGAGGTGTAAAACGTCGAGATTTGTAAAAATCTCGATTTTTTTTTTTTTGCACGATTACAATACTTTCTCTATACTACGTATATACGAGAAAGTAACAAGACCATCTAGTAGTCTGCTTTAAAAAAAAAAACTAAATGCTTTGGCTTTGTATTTTTTATTTTCTGTACCACCTTTCGGTTTTGATAGTGTATGTTTATAAAGGCTTTGTTCAGTTTTATTCTTTTATAAAAGTGTTGCCAACTTATTTGTTATCATAGCCTATTTAATCATTAAAACTGGTACTATGCTTTCTAGCAACTAAAGGTTTGAAACAAGATTTATATTTTTAGCACCTGTTTTTTTTTGTAAGGTGCGAGGGTGAGGGTGGAGAGGCGGGACGTCACATAAGGTAATGACGGCGTCAAGACGTCACTAAGCTGCAGCCAGACGGGGGCTGCTCAACGTGTTACGTGGCAGATGACGTTGTTTTGTGAGGGTCCAGCTGTCACGGGGCTAAAGTCGACTCGACACCGGAAAGCGGGTTAGTCGGCCCGGGCCGTGTGGGTAAATCCTGCTGGCTACCCATATGGTCGGGAAAAACTTTACTAGCGCGTGCCCCCCCCCCCCCCCCCCCCCCCCCCCCTAAAATGTCCTAAACGGCTTGACTTCCTACTGAACAAAGAAATCGGTTACAGTCTAGATAAACGAATGCTATTCACGTATATATACCTAACCCTAACCCTAACCATAACCTCTACTTTTTAAAAAAACGTTTTTTTAAATCTCTACAACAGCCAGTAAATTTTTACAAAGCGATAAAGATGGGAGAAGAAAATTTAAGTGCGGGGTTCAATGGGCCATAATGACGAGATCGGGCGATAAAATTGCGAAAGCTAACACCGGACACACCTGATGA